CGGGGGCACAGCAGAGCCACAGAGAGAAGAGAGATCCATTCCACGAACTAGTTCCATTCACACTTCATAGCGGGGGGGGGGGTCCCCAACCCTTTGCAGCCTGTGGCTGAGTTTGGAATTCTCCCACAGGGTGTTGTGGGTGGTGCTACAAAATGGCCGCCGCGGGAGGCTGAGCTCCAGACTCAGAGGAAGCCTAAGTACAGGAAGAAGGGAGATGATTTAAAAATACCCTGGGAAAGAGGGGTTGGGAGAGAATCATTGTAGTAGCAACTGCCACTGAAGCGACTTTGTATGAATCTGGACAAGCCAATCAGATATCCAGTGGCCAATTAGAAGCCCTGCTGGGCAGGAGCCCCACAGTGGCCGTAAAGGTAAAGGTTTCCCTTGCTCAAAAGCTAGTCAGATCCAACTCTAGGGGGCGGTGCTCATCTCTGTTTCCAAGCCAAAGAGCCAGCGCTGTCCGGAGACTTCTCCATGGTCATGTGGCCGGCATGACTAAACGCTGAGGTGCACGGAACGCTGTTACCTTCCCACCGAAGTGATACCTATTTATCTACTTGCAATTTCTTGCTTTCGAACTGCTAGGTTGGCAGGAGCTGGGTCCAGAGATGGGAGCTCACTCCATTATGCGGCACCCGGATCTCGAACTGCCAAACTACAGACCTTCCAGTCTGCAGCTCAGCGTCTTAACCTCTGAGCCACCGCGGCCCACAATGGCCATACCCACTTGCTAAAAACACTTTGCAAGTTCCAGGAAAAGTGTTGGCGGGCACCGTGTTGGAGACCCCTGCTTCATAGTATCCAAGCTTTTTTTTTTTTTTTTTAAGGCCAGTAAAATTAATAATCAAGAGTGTGCCAACAAATCCTTCATGTGGCCCTTTTTTGGGCCATTGGTTAACCACCGTAAAAGCTTGGAGTTCAGTTCCGGCTCAGCGGCGTGAAAATGACTGTCTCTTGCTCCAGCAATCAGCTGCTTAGCAAGAACTTCTGCTGCAGTTTAAAGAAAGCAATCTAAAAGTGCACGACTCTGTCGAGAGCCCCGGGCACCTCAAAATAAGGATCGTAATTATTATTATTATTATTTAAAAAACAACAAAATTTAAATTTGCATTTTAATCTGACTCATGGATTGGGGTGAGGCCAGACTCAGGATTTCTTTGTTTAAAAAAAAGACAGACTTGCGCAAGCTGGTGTAGTTCACCTGCCTTCCCTCAGGTTGCACTCTAAGCCAGTCTGGGCTGGGTGGAGCCCCTCCCTTGGGATGCAGATGAGCCGCCATTCCTTAGTGATAGCGTAGATGGCTCGCAAACAGAAAATCCCCAGTTCAGTCCCTTAGCACCAGGGTGTCAAACATGTGGGCCAGGGGCCGGATGAGGCCCCCCCGGAGGGCTTCTATCAAGCCCACAGTGGAACTGGCTGTTTTCTGCTGCTTCTTCCAGTTATTCTGCTGCTGCGTCATCATAGGTTTGCAGCTTACAGATACACACCTGAACAGCATACTCAAGATTGCAACTGCACAGACATTTTGATGTAATAATTCAAGAGCAAGAGGTGTCATCAGACACTGTTAAATGAACAAAATATTGCAAGAGTGCTAATGCTTTAAGCAGGTTTTTATTTTAAGTAAAAAATAACCCTTTTATGTTTGTGTCCTTTATAAACTTTATATCTCCGCCACCTGGCATTACATTTTATCACGCACATGGCCCGGCCCAGCAAGGTCTCATTTATGTCAGATCCGGCCCTCGTAACAAATGAGTTCGACACCCCTGCCTTAGCGCTTCCAGTTTGAAGGATTTCAGGTAGCAGTCCTGGGGAGAAGCTCTGCGTAAGAGCTTTGCAAGCTGCCGTCAATCAAGTTAGACAGTATTGGTCTGGAGGGGAGGGGCTGCATCTCAGCAACAGAGCATCTGCTTGGCAGGCAGAAGGTCCCAGGTTCAATCCCCAGCATCTCCAGTTAAAAGGACCAGTGAAAAGACCTCTGCCTGAGCCCTCGGAGAGCCGCTGCCTGTCTGAGTAGACAAAACTGACTTTGATGGACCCCAGGGTCTGATTCAGTATCGGGCAGTTTCATGTTTGTGTTCATATGGATGTAGTGAATGTTTGACAGGTTAAGGCAACTTCATGCAGTTTTAGAGAGTCAGTTCAATTCATTTTATTGCTCACAGACCAATAGGTCATAAGCAAACATACAACGTATAATACATATGATGGAGTTCTTTCTAGGCTTGCCATATTCCAGGTGAGGCCTGGAGTTCCCCTGGAATTGCAACTGACCTCCAGGCCTTAGGGATAAGTTCCCCTAGAGAAAATGTCTGCTTTGAGAGGTGGACTCCGTGGCATCCCATCCCTGTTGAGGCCCCTCCCCCTCCCAAACCCCGCCCACCCCCAAATCACAAGGAATTTCCCAATCTGGAGCTGGCGAGTTTCCCAACCTGGAGCTAGTTTCTCTCTGATGCTCTTTTCTGAGGAGCAGGAACCCCGTTTATAGGTGTTATAGAGTCATGGCAACTCTCGAGAACTCTGATAGCAGGATGGGGGCTTGCATGTTTTAATACTCTCATGGAAAAAGAAGATCCTATTGGGTGTTGTAAATAAGAAGCGGGAGACTGACCAGTTATGAAGTTGCACAGAGAGTTTATATAGTTCTAAAGGTGAATATATACAGAGATATTTACAGGCTGTTGAACAGCATGTCGTGCCTTAGTCTATGAGAACTGAGCCCCCACCAGCTTACTAAACTGATAGCTGTTATGCTAAACCCCAGCCAATCTCTAACAAGGTGATGTAATCACTAGCTCTAACAAGCCCTGAAAGAGCAACACCTGCTAGAAAACACCTGGCTGTAATTACATGATTACTAGCATGACAGCTAGGTCTGACAAACAGATCAAACTGATCTATAGTAACTGCTTGCTACCTCTATCACTCTGACATATATCTCAATAGATCCTTGGAAGCAGAAATCTTACCACGTCACAGGGAGAGGTTAAGCCTTCTGCATGGTATGCTTACAGTTACCAAACTCCAGGTGGGAGGGACCTGGGAGATCTCCCAGAATGGCAGAGATCGGATGGAGGAAATGGCCGCTTTGGAGGGTGGACTCAATGGTGTTATACCCTCCCCAGGCTCCACCTGCAGATTTCCATGAATTTCCCAGCCCAGAGATGGCAATCCCATATTGCTGTCTTTCCGTCTGCATGGAATATTTGCATGGTGCGGGGCTGAAATATATAAATCCCTGCCTGCAGCCTAAAGGGGTACCACCCAGTTAAAGCCTCAGCACTTAATTCTGCTAGCCATAGAAATGGAGCCAGGATACCTACACCGACCCATGAGGCAAGAAACCCCAGCAAGAATTCTACCGCGTTCTGTTTAGGGGAGAGTCTCCAGGGGATGTTCGTCCAGAGATCGTATAATTGGAAAATAACCCCAAGAACTCCCTTTCAAGAGGAAGATATTTTGTTTGCTTATTTATAGATCTCTGCTGTGTCTCTTAAGCAAGGGGAAGTAACAAAACCATGCAAATTCTTGTAGGACTAATGCAACACAAAGGGCCTGGAATACACTGGATTAGAAATGAAAAGAGGCACCTGTGCCATTTGCATATTTTCCAAAACAGTCTCGTTAGGCACGTCACTTATATTTAACTCCATGCACGGAAGGAGGCAAGCCGTGTCTGAGTGTACCAGGAACTCTGGAAACGGCGAGAGAGGTTCAAAGCTTGAAAACATAAAACAGACTGGAGTGTTTCATGTCTCTGGGGCAAAGGGGATGGTGGAACATGGAAATCAATGTCTCTTCATTCCCTTCCCCTCCATCTAAAACCTGTACTGTAGGAACAAGAAAATTAACCCATTCATTTTTTTATCTGTGATAATTTAACTTGCAAGCTTTCCTGCCTTCAGGGAAGTCTTTCCACTTTAACTTATTTGGCTGGGGAACCTTTACACATCTTCCGTGGAACGAGTTTCCACACAATCATGGTGCATATTCTAAGATGCATGCTCAGTTCACGTGGAGCCACAGCATTGTCCCAAATGAACTGTGCGTGCGCCCTAAAACATACCCAACATCCCAGCAACTGCGCATTGCAAAAGGAAGATCCGTAGCAGCAGGGAAGCAGGTCTGCCATTCGATGCGCCCTCTAAGCTGCGGAGTCTTGTGAGCAAAAGTGCTGCTTTGTGAGCTACTGGCATTAAAGTTGCGAGCAAGCGATCTGTCTGCTGCATAAATTAGTTTGCTCTGGAGCCATCTTTCCTGAGCTAAGACGAAAATGTGTGAGCTGGAGGCTAAAAAACTGTGAGCTAACCCACACTAACTCAGCTTAGAGGGTACCAGTTTTATCATTGGGGGGGGACGCCTGTGGTGAATTTTCAAGGAACCTGCAGTTTCCCAGAACAGCACTAACAACAACAACAACAACAAAAAGATTTAGTTGCTGGCATAAAAGGTGTTCCAAGATGGTGCATGATGACTTTAACCTCCCCCAAAAGTAGCACAGTTGAACCATGAACGTCCACCTTGTAAATTGTGCCACCTAGGTTAGCTTGGCTTGGCTACATCATGGTAGTCTCATAGAAGTAGGCTTGGGAAATAAGTTAGATGGCCACGTCAGTCTGACACGTACCTGTTTCACAACTGCAAGATTCAGGGCAACCAGTTCACATGACCACATGAAGTTGCCCTATCCTGAATCAAGACTATGGCTCCATCAAGGTCAGTCTTGTCTACTCAGAATGGCAGCAGCTCTCCAGGGTCTTCCACATCACCTACTGCCTGGTCCTTTTGAGTGGAGATGCTGGGGACTGATCCTGGGACCTTCCGCATGCCAAGCAGATGCTCTTCCACGGAGCCACAGCCCCTCCCCCCAAATTATCTCCCCCCCCTCCCCCAGAATGCACCCGTGTTGAAAATAGTGCTTACGTAGTTGTTGTTTGCCACATGTACAATGTAAAGTGTATACTGTGCTTAATGTGTTTGTTTTTGTGTCCTAAAAGGCGCAGGATCTGAACGTGATTGAAGAAGTCATTCGAATGATGCTGGAGATCATCAATTCCTGCTTGACCAACTCTTTGCACCATAACCCTAACTTAGTGTACGCGCTGCTTTATAAGCGGGATCTCTTTGAGCAATTTCGAACTCACCCCTCTTTCCAAGATGTAATGCAGAATATAGATCTGGTGAGTAATATTTGGATCTCTGCTCATTATCCGGTATGGGAAGGCAGTTCATATCGTCTCTCGGATTTGCACAGACGGGTGTGGGTCTCACCTCTGAGCAAAAATATTCAAGAGTTAACACATACACTTTCAGACACCCCAAGAACATTTGCTAGTGGGAGAATATTAAGCTGTGTTCACACACACCAAATAATCCGCTTTCAATGCACTTTCCAACTGGATTTTGCCAGTTCACACATTAAAATCCAGTTGGAAAGTGCACTGAAAGTGGATTGAAAGTGAATTCTTTGGTCTGTGTGACCACAGCCTATGTGTTCTTTTCTTTTTGTCAACAAGTCACAGCTGACTTACGGCAACCCTGTAGGGTTTTCAATCAATCAATTTATTTAGCTCACGTGACCAATGGTCTCATGCACAGAATGCAACAAACCTGTAAAATACCAATGTAAGAGTTTAAAACTGTTAACGTTTCAAATCCAATTGAAATATAAACTGTATAAAGGTTTAAAATATAAAACGATAAGACATTTCGGACATAAAACTGAAAAAAATTTAAAAAGCGATTAGAACCAAAAAGTGCACACCTCCTCTTAGCAGCAGTTATTTACACTTCAATGCTATTGTAATAGCTAAATATTTTGCTACTGGTGGTGATTGTCGGGTCAGTGTCTGTCAGCCGATAAGAGACTACCACCCATGGCTCCAGTGGAAGATGGTATTTAGATAAAATTGGATATACCCAATATGACCTAAGAGCTAACCAATGAGAACAAAACAAAAGGAAATGTGTCAGCGTCTCAATCTCACCAGAAGCGCAGGTACAAAGCCTGTCTGAATACGGAGTTCGTGAGAAACGTCCCGTTAATTCTGCAGATGGTACAGCATTGAATCTTGCAAGAGTGAAAGCAAATCTATGAGAGGGGGTGGTAAGATGGCTTAGGTATGATGGAAGGGTCAACGAAGGAGGAATTCAAAGCTGTAGGGTTTTCAAGGAAAGAGATATTCAGAATTAGTTTGTCATAACCTGCCTCTGCGTAGCGTCCCCGGACATCCTTGGCAGTCTCCCATCTATGTACTAACCGGGGCCAACCCTGCTCATCTTCTGAGATCTGACGAGATCGGGGCTAGCCCAGGCTATTCAGGTCAGGGCAAATGCTCTAATTAATAATAATTTTCACCTGCAGACAGATCAGTGATTATACCTTTTCAAGAGTGCTTGAGGTCATGGATGTGTGCTTGTAGGTGAGATACTGAGGCTCTGAGCTTCTCAGAAGCAAAGATCGGGAAGAATCTAGCACTTGATCGTAGCTAAGTGCTGAGGCTTTCCACAGTTCTGTGTCAAAGCAGGCCAGATGTTAACACACAGAACATCCAGAAAGCTTGTCAAACTGGGGAGGCAATCGCACATAGTAAAGGTAAAGGTTTCCCTTGCTCGAAAGCCGGTCGAATCCGACTCTAGGGGGCGGTGCTCATCTCCTTTTCCAAGCCAAACAGCCAGCGCTGTCCAAAGGCTTTTCCATGGTCATGTGGCTGGCATGACTAAACGCCGAGGTGCATGGAACGCTGTTACCTTCTCACTGAAGGTGTTCCTGTTTTATCTACTTGCAATTTCTTGCTTTCGAACTGCCAGGTTGGCAGGAGCTGGGGCCAGAGACGGGAGCTCACTCCGTCACGCGGCACTCGGGTCTCGAACAGCCAAACTACAGACCTTCTGGTCTGCAGCATCTTAACCTCTGAGCCACCGCGGCCCTACAATCTTGCCCATACTCTTGCCCAAATAAAGACTCTCCATATTTGACACTTAAATGCCAGCACTGTATTAGGCTCAGCAACTGGCAGTATCTCCATTTATATTAGCTCTTTGACTGCTGTGGTGGTGTTTTAGCATTGTTTTAATTCAGCTATATTTTTATGCTGCAGTCTTAATTCTGTAAGTAGCATAGAGTTTGTTTAAAGAAATCTAAGACATGTTTCCTACCCTGCTGGAAAGCTCTTCTGGTAGATAAGATAAGAACCCCTGTTTGGTACTTTAACAACCCACATCCTGACTTCTTACTTATGTGGTGGAAGTGTAGTTGTTCTACTACAGTAAAATACTGGAGGATGGTTTGCATAATACTTTCTAAAGGAATTGGCCATAACATTTTAAATACACCAGGATTATTTTAGTTAAATTATGTCGTTTCCATTCCAATGAAGTTTCATGTGATAACAGCATATGTTATAACAGCTCTTAAATTAACCCTAGCCAGGTTATGGAAGCAGAAGAAAAGTATCAGTGAGAAGAAGCGTTTTGGATAATGTTAAAGACTTTATTTATATCAGTAGAAAAGAGCAAGTCTAGAAGCACCTTAAAGACTTAACAAAATTTGTGGCAGGGGAGGAGCTTTCGTGTCACGGCTCACTTCAGATACAGAACAGTGAGCAGTGACTCACGAGAGCTCATCATTTTGTTAGTCTTGGAGGTGCTGCCGGACTCTTGCTCTCCTCTACTGCCGGAGGCAGACTAACACGGCTACCCCATCTTGTTTTTATTTATATATTAAGCTTTCAGCTCTTCAAAAAAACGAAGGTGTGGTTAGAATGGACTTAATTGGGCAGGAAGTCTTCAGTTGAAGAGAACAAACAACGTGAAGAATTCAGCCTTTGCTAACTTATTTCCTTTGCACATATAACTCTTTGTGTGTTTTTCTTTTTAAAAACATAATAATAATGTTTTAAAGTGGTAGATAAGATAGAAGATGGGGGGACAGGTGCTCAGATTATTCCAGCCACTAGGAGTCAACATTCATTTGCTTGTTCTAAGCAATTACAAAGTTTGTTTGTAATTATAAAGAGCAATTACAAAGAGCCAGTTTGGTGTAGTGGTTAAGTGTGTGGACTCTAATCTGGGAGAACCGGGATCAGTTCCCCACTCCTCCACTTGCAACTGCTGGCATGACCTTGGGCAAGCCATAGTTCTGTCAGAGCTGTTCTTTCAATAGCAGTTCTCGAAAGATCTCTCTCAGCCCCGCCTACCTCACAGGGTGTCTGTTGTGGGGAGGGGAAGGGAAAGGGGTTTGTAAGCCGCTCTGAGATCCCGAGAGAAGGGCAGGGTATAAATCCAATCTCCTCTTCTTCTTCTTCTTCTTCTTCTTCTTCTTCTTCTTCTTCTTCTTCTTCTTCTTCTTCTTCTTCTTCCTCCTCCTCCTCCTCCTCCTCCTCCTCCTCCGTTCTCTGCTGAATAATATGACCACCAAAACAGCATTCAGAACAACCTCCAAAACTACTCAACGGTGTCTTAAAACTATCAATCAATCATCCCCAGCTTGTAAACAACATAAGAACCTAAGAGAAGCCAATGTTGGATCAGGCCAATGGCCCATCCAGTCCAGCATTCTGTCACACAGTGGCAGTATTTTTTATTCCAGTTATTATTAACCTTTGATCTAGGGTTACCAGATATCCTCTGGCCACCGGGGCTTGAGGGGGGGTTGCCAGATCCAGGTTGGGAAACTTCTAGAGAGATGGAGGACAGGGACCTCAGTGGGGTACGATGCCACAGAGTCCGCCCTCCAAAGCTTCAGTTTTCTCCAGGAGAACTGATCTCTGTTGGCTGGAGAGGAGCTGTAATTCCAGGGGATTTCCAGGTCCCACCTGGAGGCTGGCATCCCTACTTGGATCAAATAACCGGATCAAATAGATCTATCATTCTGATAGCGCCAGAAAACCTTGCAAAGAGAAATAAAACCCCGAACACTTCTGCCCCCCAGATCAAAATCTGAGATGCAACCCAAACTGTAACTGGGGGAAAAGGCTACATCTGGACTTGACACCGTAAATCACAATTTATTAACAGGGCTCTGGCAAACCTCTTTCGGCAAGACTCTGATGACGTTTGACAAACTGATTTTATAGATTTTTTTTCTGCCTTGCTTTTGTTTAAAGAAAGTCAGAAAAGCCGTCCAGCAATCTTTTCATAATTATGATTATTTCCAGCGCGTCCTGGAAAATGCCAACGTTTACTGGTAAATGAGAGTCATTTGGTGAAGGGCTGTGAGTTTTCTCCGATGCTGAAAAGGACCCCGATGATAAGATTTTTCATCGCCTGTTACTGTCTCTGGTTCTTGCCTTTGGCAGGAAGAAAGCGCCTCTTGGCAAATACCCAAATGAGATGCGCTTGTATACACGTACATTATTTGCATAATATGCGAATTACCTTGCCTGGATTTGCAGGACTGTGTTTGACAACTCTGGTATTGTACAGATCGAAAACATCTGGTTCAGTTACTAACAAGAGGATAGTTATGATTTCTGTTTCCACTTACTGCTGCGAATCGTTCCAGACCTAAATGGGCTCCTAGCACAGGGAATGCGACCGGCCCTTTCTTACTGGTGATTGCCAACGTCCTGAATATTACAGAGAGTCAGTTATTGATGGCATTGTTAGAGCTGGGGATTTTTCTGTAAAATGAATGATTACTGGGGAAAGCATCTCCAAGATTGGGGGGGGGAGGGTGTTGATCCAAATAATTAATTGAAGAATGACTAAAGCCGTTTGCTGAGGTTGCCACAGTTGCCAGAAGTAACATCTATGTAGACACGGTGACGTTGCGGAGAAGGGAAATTAGTTTTATCCAATTGTGGAGGATGTAATGGACCATGCTGGATTAAATCTTCTGAGGGGGTGGTATCTGCTGTCCTGGGGCGTGGCTGTGTGGTAGAGCCTCTGCTTGGCATTCAGAAGGTCCCAGGTTCAATCCTCTGCATCTCAATTTAGGACCTCGGCCTGAGACCCTGGACAGCCACTGCCAATCTGAGTAGACAATACTGACCTTGATGGTCTGATTCAGTATAAGTCAGATTCATGTGTTATTTTGGGGGGAGGGGCTGTGGCTCAGTGGTAGAGCATCTGCTTGGCATGCAGAAGGTCCCAGGTTCAATCCCCGGCATCTCCAGTAAGGATCAGGTCGTAGGTGCTGTGAAAAGCCTCTGCCTGAGACCCTGGAGAGGTGCTGCCA